TTAGAGTGATGCGTGTGGGATATCCAGGGTGATCCAGTGTATGTGAACAGTGAGATGTTTGGGCGCTGAAGTCGCCATAGCCAATTGAGAGTGAAATCGTATCTGAAAGCCATATCTCTGAGTTTTGAGTGGGCGCATGTCGCCAGTATACTGCGTTGCTGTTTACATGCATGAAAAGTGTGTTTGAGAATGAGTCTGATTGCACTATTAATGAAGAGCAAAAAACTTTGGAGGTTCAAATGGATGAGGGATATGAGAAATTACAAATTGACTATCTGAAAACACATGGAGTAATGGTTCTTTTCATGGAGTGTGGGCCAGACATGACTTTTCAAGAGAAGGAAGACTGGATCCGCCGTGGAGAATAGAAATGGGATGAGTCTCTGACGGGGGGGAGACATGGGAGGGTAAAACCGGAGGGAGCTTCTGTAATCTCTTATCTGGCTCCGACAGAGGTCTTGAGAAATTGGTTGATAAATGATCTGGGAGAGGGGATAATCAGACGACAGGGTGGAGAACACAAAGTGAGATTTCGGCCTTGGTTGACTCCTACTCAATTACAAAAAGATAGACAATCTGCACAGGAGGGTAGGTTTTGGATAAGGGTACTAAGAGTTCCATATCTGGCCCTAAACTCATTGCAGGCTGCGATTGAAATGCAGTATGGTCGGGTCATCCGTGCCCAATCCTTGGAAAAACGCAAGAATGAACCACGTCTAGTTAATCGTCGATATGACTTGGAGTTGGCAGCTAGGTCCAAAGTTCAGCCTACGATTAGTCTTTATACCACAAAAGGTTTGCTTAAATTAGAAGTTGTCACTCAGGATACTCCGTGGTGTGACATTCACAAGTGGTATGGTCACCCTTCCGTGAAGGGCCGCTATTTGGCTAACGAGCCTCCTGATCAGTGGGAGACAATCATCCAAAAGGCAAATGAAGGGGTGGATGGTCGAGATTCCTCTCGACAAGAGTCTCTGAAAGACATTGAAATTAGATCTGCACGAGATCAAGGGAAACGCCAGGAGAAAAGGAAGCCAAGAGTAGATGACACTCGAACTGCAAGGGGGGATTTACACTCCCCTTATCGCAGGGTTGGGGGGAAGGGGGGGGGAGCCGGTGGTGGAGGGGGAGGAGAGGGAGGAGCAAGTGGAAGCTCCTCTTTGGGGGGGAGTGGGGGGCAGGGGGGAGGYGGGGGGGAGGGCGCGGGCGGTGGGGAGAGTGCTGGAGTGGTGGCAGTTGATGGAGCAGCTGTATTCGGTGGAGCAACTCAGCAATCTTCAGGAGCAGTAAGAACTGGTGGCGGTTGCCAGCAACCCTCAGAATCTGCGGTAATTGGTTTTCGTACCCAGCAACCCTCAGGGGAGGATGGAGGAATGACACAACCGATCACTGGTGCGTGGGGAGACCTTCAATTTCATTCACATGGAGGTGCTTCACCTGTTTTACAGCAACAAGGGATGTAGGCAGGGCATCGATTGGACGAAAAACAGGACAAAACACTTCCCCCCTTCCTTATTTTCCCGATCATTTTGGCATGGAATGAGGAAGAGCTCAGGTTGCTTACAGCTATGAAGGACAATATTGTTCTGTATGTTCCGCACATTGCTTGTCACGCCGAGCCAGACATAGCAGACACCATTGCAGAAATTCAGAAATGGCTTGGTCAAGGATATAGGGTACGAAAGTGGCCAGAAGTTCAGTGAGTCAAAATTCCAAAAATTCATCTTTCTGGTCAGGAGATCTCTCTCATCTTCCTTTTTTTTTATGCTCGACAAACAGACAGCGCTTATGAAGTAGCAAACATACCTTGTGCACGATGGATTCCATGGCGATTGTTTGCTAACCCCAACAGCCAGATGACATTGACTACACAGCTGGGAGGAATGTGGACAGCGAAACTTCTTCATGAAGTTAACCTCTGCATGTCGCCTCAGTACAAATTATTCGAATCGGGGTTTGCAGGTTTGATGATGCAGAAGTAGGCTGAATAGTCTTCACTCACTATGCAGGGGGTCTGCAGGGGTTTTATCCTCTCCCACTTTTTATTGGTGGATTATTTTTCTAATTAATTTTTCTGATTTCTTTTCCTTCATGCACCCTATGCTCTCTCCCCTCCTTGTTAACTTATTGTTGGAGAATGGATAAAGTATTATCTTGGAATGTACGTGGTTTGGGCACACGAAAAGTGGCATATAAACAATCTTTAATTAAAAGACTGGCTAGGAATAACGGCGCTGGAATTGTTTGTTTGCAAGAAACAAAACTTGACAGACAATCATTCAATGCCCAGTTGTCTTGGTGGCGAGGTCCCCAGTTTTGGGCGCCAGCTGTTGGGACAAAAAGAGGGATGACAATCCTCTTTTCACACAATCTGCCAATAGTCTTTAAAGACTATTTTTGGGACTGTGAGGGTAAATGGATCTGGGTAGTTTTCGAAATGGATGGTTCGCTATGGGGAGTGTACAATGTATACGCTCCAGCGGAAAGAAAATGTCGGTCTAACTTTTTTCATTTTTTGCCTGACACGGTTCCCCAGGTGCATAGGCTAATTCTCATCGGGGATTAGAACACAGTATTACAGCCTGATATTGACTCAACGACAATGCAGCCACCTTCTTCCATAGCTCTTCAGTTGGCTGCAATGGCAGCCCAACGAGATTGGACAGATGCACATAGGTACCTCTACCCACATGACCCTTCCTTCACATGGATAGGGACTTCTTTGACGACATCTCGCAGGCTGCCACGTAGTCATTTGGATGTCTGTTTTTTATCAACTGCGCTCTTACCATTGCTCCAGCAGGTGGAGGTGCTGCCGTCCCCTGGGTCGGATCACCTACCCCTGCTGGTTTCCCTCAATCGTGTTTTTCATGTTACCAGGCACAGAGATCTTAGTAGGCTCCCAGCATGGTTGGGTAGAGATAAAAAGTTTGTTAAATAGGTGCAAGACACATGGAAACATGATATTTCCACAATGCCATCACTTTTCTCACCATCGCGTCGCATTGAAGTGGCCTTGGATTCCTTGGCCAAACAAGGAAAGACCAGGGTTGCTCAACTTCGACTTCTGGCCCGATCTAAACAAGTTTTCTCATCTTTCCAAGATACTATCAAAATGATGACACATTCTGTCTTCTCTGACGCGGTACTTCTGGATTTATATAAGTCTGATGCCTCTCAGTACTTGCAGACTTTATTTGCAGAGTATGAGCGTTCACTTCTGCACGCTGAAAGAAAGTGGCTCAAGGAAGGTGATAAGATGACAAAGTCTCATTTTGGAAGAGTACGCTCTTCTCAAGCTGATTCGCTCATACTTAAACTGGAGCATCCTTTTGACACCACTCAACCAAATGCGCACACCACAGACCACATTCTTTCCTATGCAACTGGTTTTTATTGTGACCTTTTTACCTCTAGAATAAATGCCAACAATATTGAACAGCACTGTCAAACATACATCTGGTCGGCGCTTACGCCGGACCTTACAGACCAACAAAAAGCAGAAATAGACACAGATTTCACTTTTTCTGAAATAGGCAGAGCAATTCAACAATTGCCATTAAGGAAAGTACCGGGGATCGATGGAATACCCGCAGAATTGTTGCAATCGTGTTCTTCTTCGATAATTCCGGAAATCACTAAGTTGTTGTCAGCATTGTCTGAGGGACAGAGTATGCCTCATACACATGTTCAAGGAATACTCACTCTTATTCACAAAAAAGGAGCGAAATCACAAATTAGGAATAAAAGGTCAATTACACTGACTACTACGCTGTACAAGACTATATCTAGCGTATTGACTAACCAACTTCAAAAAGTGTTACCCATTCTCATAAATGCGGATCAGACCGGTTTCTTGCAAGGACGCCAAATTTTGGACACTGTTATGGCAGTATGTCAAGGCATAGAATAAATAAATTGAGTGGAAGACCCAGTTGGTGTTTTGCTTCCTGATTTTGAAAAGACTTATGATAGAGTGAATTGGGATTTCCTCTTTTTGCTTCTTCAGCGGCTCAATTTTGGACCAAAGTTTATAGCTTGCGTACGAGCTCCTTTTACAGAGGCTACTACGCGTTTGCTCATCAATGGAAAACTGTGTGAGCCTATTGTATTAACCCGATCTGTTCGGCAAGGTTGTCCGCTTGCTCCCTATTTGTACATCCTCTATATTGAAGCACTACATGTTATGATTCGCATAGATCAACGTATTGTAGGATTGCGATTCCCCCCTACTCACGAAGCAAAAGAGCAGTCTTTTGCAGATGATACTTCATTATTTTTGGTTCTTCATGATGATGTCTTTGATGCCCTCAAAGAAACCATTATCCGTTTTGCACAAGTTTCTGAGGCTAAGATTAATTGGCAAAAATCTGTCCTGTTGGTCCCATCACACTGCCCCCATCCTACCCATTGGGGTCTCCACATAGCTGAACCCATAGAAGTTCATCGATTGTTGGGTTATCATATTAATGTTGATGGCCATATTGGTCGAGCAACGACGCAGATTGTAGACACAATAAACACAGTCCTAGCATCTTGGGTCAAATCCAAAGGAGTTGCTTTACTAGGAAGAGTGCTAACAATTAATAATGCGGTTTTTGCAAAACTGTGGTATGAGCATTCCATATGTGTTTTGCAGTCTAATGTATATAAGCACATAAGGCGAACAACTACTAATTACATTTGGAAGGAGAAGGTCGATGAACCGACTTTTATTTCCGAAGTTTTGTGGTCAAAAATAATTCAAAAGAAAAATAAAGGAGGTTTGGCTATACGAGATCCTGAATTGCAAATTCGAGCATTGCTCACCAAATGGTCACCCAGATTATTGTTTGCAGATGAATCTGCCACATGGAAAGCATTGGCCAAGTGCCTGCTCTCTCAAGATTTTGGCTTCACTACAAACCCGGATCTGGTCTATTTGGCGCTTTTCATGGATGAATATTGCAGAAAAAGAGCACTTTCCCCCATTTGGAGGGACATACTTGGAGCCTGGAGAGCAATCCTCCCTCTAAGGAAAGCCTCGGTGCTCCAATATGACAGATTATTGGCTAAGCCTATTTTTAATAATCCTTGCATTTTGATAGATTGTCGACAGTGCGTTGCACGAGCCCATGGCTCGTGCATCCAATACAGAAACGATAGTAAACCGTGGATGTGCCCCTTGTGCCAGACCGACAAGATTCAGACCGAGGCTCGCTTTTTGGACGCCATGTTAGAAGGGTTGGAAAAGACCCGAAAATTTAGGAGGGCTGAAGTATGGACGGATATTGTCCTAATTGCCACCCTAGTAGGTAACCCCCTCCAGGATTTCACCAAGGAAGATCGGAGGAGGGCCAACGAAAGGGCTCGGATTACCGATGGATAGAGGGCAGATTAGAAAAACGAAAAACGGACGGCAGTGGGATTTGGATGGTGGTGCCGCATCCGTTCATGAGGTATGACTGGGTTAAGACAGCCCACGAGGAAACTGCGGCCCATTTTGTCGTACGAATCACTGTCCGCTATCGACAAAAATGAGTGGTATTGGTCCAATATCCGTGACGATGTGAAATACATTGTCGCCAACTGTCAAGTCTGCGCCGCTGATAAGGCGCCGATTCAGCCGCCAAGATCGATAGTGCCCACGGTTGTTGAACGGCCATTTCAGAGAGTGAGCATGGACACTACCGACATAGTGGTGCCCCCTGACCCTAATAGCTGCGAATATTCAATCCTATTGGTATTTGTCGACCATTTCTCGAAATGGATCGAAGCGTATCCTTGTCGCACGCGGCAAGCCACGGAAATCACGCGATATGTCAACCGTTTCCTCGGGATGCATCAGGATACGGAAGAGATCTTGACCGATAACGGGGCTGAATTCAGAGGAGAAGTGTTAAAGAATCTGGTCATACATGGCGTCGCCATACGGAACACTCCACCCCACATGTCACAATCAAATGGGCTGGTCGGAAACGCTAACCGGATGATAAAGACAGCGTTACGACGAAACATCGCGGCACGGGATCCGAGACCCTGGCCCGATATCGTCGATGACATCTTGGCGGTCCATCGCGAAACGCCCCACGAATCGACGGGGCTAAGCCCCTTCCAATTAAGGACCAATAGTGTCACTTGCATTTCGACACCAAGCCTCCCGGATGAGTCTACATTGAACCGACGGCCCACCAGGGCTACGGCTCAGGACAAGGCCAAACGGCACCTAAAGCTAATGGAACGGTCGCTGCCCAGGCTAGCCCGAAAGCGACAGAAAATGACCGAACTAGCCCAGGGCCGACAGGTCCGGAGCTACGAGGCCCGAAATGGGAATGCGGGTCCGCGGCCCCAGTACAATTGGGGGACGTGGTGCAGGTGAGGAAATGTGCTCGCCAGGGTAAGCTAGCGCCACGATTCTTCGGGCGATATCACGTGATCGAGCTCGGCCCCAATGGTGTGGACACCGTGCGTCTCGCCCCTGAAGTCTCCGGCAGTTGGTCGGCTCGTCCGATCACACGCCACGTGTCCTATCTTTGCCTCCTTCCCTCTACCCCGTCTCCCTCTCCCTCGATCTCTCTTTCTGAGGAAGCCGACGACGACGGCTCGGACTCTTTGCCATCTCCCTCCCTTTCTTGCTCCCTCTCTGCCACCCCGTCACCTCCGCCATCGCCATGAGTTTCGCCATCGAGCGAGCTTTCAGTGATCAGTTGCTGATGCCACGGGGAGAGATCTCAGCCATCCGCCAAGTGCATCATCCGCGGATCAGCCCCGACTTCATGCGCCTTGCGCAGTTCTTCTGCATTGCGGGTGTATACGGCGCGGCAGAGTTCCAATTCACGAGCAATCCCCAGGTAATGGTGTTGGCCGAGGCAACGGCGTTCCAACGGCGAGCGGCCCCGGGAATCAGCCACGTGTCTACCGTGGTAGTCTTCAGCGGCGACATCACCGCCTTCGATCCGGCGCGGCAAGCCGCCATCAAAAGCACCTCGTACCGGTAGGGTCGCGATCTGGCTGCTGATTGGGATCGACGGCTCACAAGGCACGGTGACAAGTGCTATTATGTCGACGGCATCGAAGTCAACACGCTGCGCACTACTCTACGCGAGCCACCTGTCGTCCTCCCAGAACTTGCTCCCTTCCAGCCGCGCAGATGAGCCGCACGCCGATCTCGACGTTCTCTCCTCCCTCTCTCTTCCCCATTTTCTGGCAGTCATCTCACTACCCTCGTCTCTCCTTCCATCTGGAGCCACTGACAGTACTCATCGTTGATCCGGACCGTTGGTGGCTGTGGCGTGCAGAATTTGTCAAGCTCCGTTTTGCCTGCTACGAGTGGATCTGAACTGGACATGGGAAGGCGATCAGAGGCCCGCGTCAGAAATTGTGGAGTGGCTCGTCATTCAGTGTGGAGGACCAACGTGGCGGGAGATCTTCTGGGATTCGTCTTTGGAGCAGTGGATCGGGGAAACCGATCACAGATCGTACGCGAACTTACGATCGTGATCGCGCGATTGGCCGACGAACTCCCTCTCGACATCGTCTCTCAGAGTGACGAGGAACCCATGCCACATACCCTCTCAAGGACTCTCGCCCCGAGCCTCCAGTGGTCGGCTTGTATCGAGGAGCGCTGGGCGGACGACCGTTTTCCCTCCCGTAGCGAGTAACTAAACGTCCACAGCCTCACTAATCCCCGCTTCTTTCGGCAACCAACGACGTTCGAGTGGGCGGCGCTGAGAGCAGAAGAGGAGGCCAAAGAGGAATCCAAAGGAGAATTGAGGAGAGAGGCCGTGGAGGCAGCGACCCGATTGGCCGAGGACGAGGAAGAAGAGCGCGAAGCAGAAGAAGAGTTGGTGGAAGCTGAAGAAGAAGAAGAAGAAGAAGCAGAGGAGAAGACTTCGGAGGAAGAGGAAGAGGCCTATAGCGAGTACAGCGAGGGCGAGCAAAGTGAGGAGGAGGACGAAGACGACGAAGAAGTGGAAAGCGGGGACGACCAAGAGCCAACGCACGACGAGCTCGAGTGGGTGCCAGGACCGGATCGGCGAGAGGAGAACCTGGAGGCTGCTGCGCGGCGCAAGAAAGAGATCGCGAAAGGAAAGCGGTTGGCGATCGATCCCGCACTGAACGATCCTTTCAAGTATCCCAAGCCGCCCAAGCCGGAACATGGAGACCTTGCTGCCACGACAGCGGGAGCCGCGACGACAAGGCGCCCATCCCGATCCCGATCCACGTCCTCCTCCGCCTCCGCCCGTCCCCCAATTCGTCAACGTGTCAATGAGGGGCTTAGCCCTTCGTCCCTGATCCATATACCACCATCCCCTTAGGTATCTCTCTTTCAATCAGTATTTCCATCGCGTCGTCTACCCCCGTAATCCCTTCCCCATCGCCACCTTCCGACATTTCTACTCCGCCCGCCTAGAACTGACTATCCACCCCCACCCTTCCGTTCGGTGGGCCGTCCCCGACTACTCCCTCCACGTTCTACTCCTTAGCGCCGCGTGGCGAGGCCGTAACCATATAGAGGTTTACTGCATCGTTACGGGGACCTTCCCCGCGTGCGAGAACCATGATCGGTTTCGCACAAACGTCCTCCGAACCCTCGTATCCCTTTACCCAGACTACCTCGCCTCCCTTCCCCGCAGCGGCCAGAGATTCCCCCGCTTCCATCGCATTGTTCGTTTTCAAGAACTTCCCTACGACCTCACTGCGATCGGGCGCTTCATACCCGAGCTAATGATGGAGCCGCCCCGCCCTCCCTCGTACACGTATCACCTTCCCTTCCCCCTTCCGGTTAATTATTGATGCAGCGGTAATGGATGCGTGTCGCAGCGACGACACGAGAAAGATCCCGTCCTTGGATCGTCGAAGAGCCTAATCCGAGGAACTAGTAGAAGAGCAGAGTTGTCATGTTGGATGACGTCCACACGCAATCGAACAGTAAGTGGCATACAGAGAATTGCTCTGCGTGTCGATCAATTAGAGAAATCGACACGTGTCAACAAGCAAGCAGGAGCTTGCTAATATTGGAACCCCCTGGGCCTCACATATGTGACGAACCACTTTTTGTAACGCGCGATTTTTTGCGCAGTTACAATGAGGGGTCCTAAGCTCGGAAGATTGGGCCAATTACAGGAGATCGGGATCGATGGAGAATTGCATCAGTGTCCTCGCTTTTTCGTCCTTTTTCATCGCTTCTTTTTCGAAATGGTCGGGCACGGGGTCGGGTGTGTCTTGGGACGGCTGGTTGATTGAATTGGTCGGATGGTTGTCTGGCGCGATGCCACGCGCGCGTGCGATTAATAAATATTGACGTCGTTTCTTTTGGTTCGGTTTTTTATCTTTTGGGAAATTGCTTCGTTCTTTTTAAATTTCCTCTTGAATCTTTTTCGAGCCCCTAATGGCTCTCGGAATTTCGGACTTTCCTTCTAGAATTCGTGCTTTTTGCTTTTTCGCATTAGATAGGAATTTAGGAATTCAGTAATTAGGATTTTTTCTATCGCGCGACGCCTTTTGTTTACACACTTCTTCATGCAGCTGCAACGGTACTCTGATTAGTGGGCGCCCTTAATCGTATGTGTAACTGTAATTTTGGGCGGGCGCCATTGTAACTGTATCTCTCTTCCTGCACTTTGTCTCTCCCGCCCTCCCTCTCTTTCTTTTGCTGAAATTTTGTAAGTCGCGGCTTGCATGCTCAGATCGATGCGTGGAGAAGGGTTACGTCCCCCACGCCGCAGTCGATCATGCAGAACGCAGGCGTTCCCTCTCTAATCTTCACTCTAAGTCTTGGTAACTACGTGTTCTTCGCGCATGCATGCACGCTATAAATTTCGGCAGCACGATTAGTCAACTCTCTTAACCCGTCGTTGGAAGCTCGGGGTTGCACAATCAGGAAGGGTCGGCACACGAGCGAAGTAAGAGGTGAGTAAAGTAGGAGTTGGGCGACCCGACGGGCTGGTGCCGAACGCACGGGATTGACGTGGGCCACGACAAACTGTGGGCACGGGCGAATCCGACGGGTGCGGGAGGACTAAGCGGGGTGACAACTTCGTGGGTTGGTGCGTGACGACGGACTGTCCGCATCGGAGAGAGAGAGAGAGGAGGAGAGAGTTGAGGTTGATGGACGTGGATTTGCTGTTTCTTTGTCTCTTCCCCCTCTTYATCTGTGTACATACATTTTGATTGCGGCTCCGGGCGGTTTGCCCGTTCTTATCTTCGTTTCGGCTTTCTGGAATCCGGACTTGGGTTTTTGCTCACACCCGTCCTTGCGATTGCATTATGTGTATGATTGTCGAATGTATGGATGCATGAAAGTTATGCCTGCTTGCCTATCTCTTTTGCGGAGAATCCCTGCCCTTGCTTTTTSTTTGTGTCGAATCTTTGCTTGCACCAGATGCAGCGATAGATGGGATAAGAATCTGGCCCCGATGTCGATTTCGTTCTCGTTCTTGCTTGTCCCATGATGATGTTGTGGTATGATTGCATCTTGCATAATMGACGATCCGAAATCTGGCCCCGTGAACGCCGCGCGAAAACACGTGTAAACGCGATCCGAGTCGCGCCCTTACACGCATTYYCGTGCGTCGATTCGCCCGCCYAGACAAGACTCGCRGCGGAACCACCATCCCGCACGGGCACGCCGAGGCGCAACTAAGTTCRCCCAYCCGACAYGTGCTCATGCGCGGTGACGATATCCCGACCCGCGCTATCCCACCGACGATGACACCATGACGCGATCTTGGGGCTCGGACTCATCCTATGACCCGGATTATTTCACCCCTACAATAAACGAGCTCATAAGGACACGATACCCCTGTCACACGGAGAATCAACTATGTCCGCGGGAATTCCACTGTGCCACCACTAGCGACCCTCGGTGCTCCGATTTCCCTTCCCCCGACCACACCTACTACTTCACYCACCCAGGATTCGTTGAGATCACCACCAGTTTCCCTCCTTTCCGCCTCCTTCTCCCGTATCATCAACTCAGTGTCGTTCCGTGGCCGGCCATAGCCCCCTATTGGCCCAATACGTTTTGCGTGAACTGCCGACGTAGCGGCGCACCGAGCACTCCGGAATTCCGTAGGCCTAACCCAAAACCGCGGCGGTCTGCACCATGTGGCGGCCCCCGACGGCCTAACTATCCGGGACTACCTCCACCACGGAGGAATTTTCCCATAACCCGTCGTCCACAGTGTCCTGGTCCTTTGGGACTGTGAGACCCTTGCGTGCGCACCCCTCACTCGCCTAATTGCGTTCGTACCCCTAAGACTCCCCCACTTCCCCCAAAAATCCTTGGCACACCCCTTTTCGCACTTCCAGGCCCACACTCCACTCCGATCAGGAAGCCGCGCTGGGCGTGAGGTTGGGCGTCACAATAGTACTAGAATTCAGGGGCCGCAAGGTCTCCAAAACCTACTTCTTGAGGTGGAGCCCCTCCCCTGTAGCTAAGACTGACTATATCAGGCAAAATAATGAATCGGAAAATCGTACTAACGACCTTAAAGCAGGACACAACCAAAGCATCCCTCGACTAAAAACTAACTTACGAGTAAAAAAAATAAAAAATAAAAAAAATAAAAAAAAATAAAAGAAACAAGCTACAATCCAAAACAATCAAGCGTCATGTTTCTTGCAGAAAGGAGCCAAATGTGAAGTCTCCAATACATTCATCAACAGAGGCCAAAGTAGGGCAAGAGGCCCAGTGTCTCTTGAACCAAAGTACCCCAGCTCGCAAGTTCCTTGTTTTACCGACCTTCTTGCCCCAATCCAAACAGATAATGTGCCTCAGATCCCTTTTCACCATGTAAAGCACTTGTTGAGTCGAGAAGGAGCCATTGGATCTGACAATATAATTTCTCTGACGCCATAGATGCCACAACACCGTTGCTCTGATGGTCTCATAAACATAAGCCTTTGGCTTAGTGAGGCTTATAAAAGTTGTTCCCAACAAATCGCCCCATGTGACCATAAGTCTGCCCAATGATCAGGAATGACAGAGGCTTCTTTGAACTGTGCCCAAAAAGCACGAGCGTTGGCACACGTGACCACAAGTGATGTTGATCCTCCACTAAATGACCTGCGAGACAGGTTGTACAGAAGGGTGACCCCTACTTACGACGATGATACAAAAAGGCAGTTGTAGGGACTGCATTATGCAGTATAACCCAAAGCAACCCAGCATGTTTCGCACTTGACAAGGATGGAAGGAGACGCCAGAAAGAGGTCAACTTTTGAGGGTTAATCACTAAACCCAACTTTCTCCATTTCGTTATAACATCCCAATCAACATCCACATCAGGTAATAACTTAGCATAAGCCATTTTAGCAGTATGTTGAAAAAGGGGGATGGTATCATCTAGTTTCCTATGATCTGTCCAATACCAATCTCTAGGATCAATGGTCAGGTATTTCGCAGCAGTATTAAGACTGTATGGTCGATATTCAGTAATCAGTCCCTTAGTCTGTTCCAATACACAGACAACAGACATATTTGTTATTTCTGAACAGTTAGAAGCTGAGGATAGCCTCTTAAGGGGTGTTCCCAACCCTTCATATCCATTGTTCACATTCCAACCAGTCATTTCCCATTCTGTGTCTGACAACTGTGACTCCAGGCGCCATAAACATCGTGTATGGCCATCCATGTCCTCCCTAAACAATGTACCAGGCAGATACTGTCTGTTACTAATTATATGTGTCCATGAGTCTGGAATGACAACCATAACATCTTGCAAATTATTTCTCCATTGTCGTAGGCCATGCAAACGGTGTTGCAGTTTATCCTCAGTTTTCCACGTACTAGTATCATCGTCCCACAAATGTGCTAGGATAGCAACACCTCATGCCCATGTAGTTGGTGAGTTTCTTCAGCGCCAGCAGAGGCTCGTGATCCATTACGAGGCGAAACTTCTATCCGTAGAGATACGGATGGAAGTGTTGGATTCCCCAAACTACCGCATAACACTCACCCTGAGGTGCGGAGTCATTTCTTCGTTCGTCCGGCACGGTTCGTGACGCGTACTCGATGACGTGTTCGCGACCATCGTTCCCCTTCTGTGCTAGAATAGAGGAAATAGCTTTCGGTTGTCAGTCCGTGATGAGAATGAACTGCTTCGAGGGGTCCGGTCGAATCAAAATAGAGGTCGTCGCCAGAGTGTCCTTGAGGGTTGCAAAGGTCTGCTGGCACTCCGCGTCCCAGCTGAGCGGTTGGTCCTTCCATAACAGATTCGTTAGTGGTTGTGCAATTGCGGCAAAGCCCTTGATGAAGCGCCGGTAGTACGACGCCAGTCCCAAGAAGGCTCGAACCTGCGTCAGTGATGTGGGAACCGGAGCTTCCTTCACCGCCGCAACTTTTCTCGAGTCTGGCCGCAATCCTCCTCGTGTCA